CTTAACCCTGCTTATGTTCACTGATACTTAATTTTTTCCACTTTTTGACCCCTACTAACAATGCTGGTAGCAAGATTCTTAATGATATGTCATTCATTCTTTTGAAAGTTTGTGTGGCCACCTTGTTGGCATACCTTTGGGAGCATTTGGAATCTAGTGGCCATATATATCCCCAGAATGCACGATAGTGATCCTTGGTTCTCCTGGATCTCCTCCCGAAGAGACTGCCAAAGAAAACTGTAGCTGCTCTGGGATTGTAGCCATTAAAGAGGGACAATATCAGGCCATGAGCCTATTCTTGGGGTCATTTTATTTATTTATTTTCTTACTTATTTTTGAGATAGGGTCTGGCTACCTATGTATTCTAGGCTGCCATCAAACTTGTGATCCTTTTGCTTCAGCCTCCCCGGGGCTGGGATTGCAGAGGAGTACCATTACAGCCACCTATGGGAACAACTTTGTAACCCTCTCAGGAGGAGGCCCTAGTGTTTCCTGGGGGGACCTGATTTCACTTGTTGGGTTTCCCTATGTTTCAGATCAGTGCTGATTCCTCGCCTGGCTTGCCAGCACACAAAGGCGAGTTGGTGGTTTCATTGAAATACATCCCAGCCTCCAAACTCCCTGTTGGAGGTGACCGGAAAAAGAGTGAGTTTTCTTTGGGTCACTGGATTCAGCTTTTAGCTTCTGTACAGGGTCCGTGAGTGATTGGTATAGGCTCCTTGGCTAAGGTAGGCTGGGATGTTTCCTGGATCTTCTATGCAGGAGTCCTTTCCTGAGGAAGCCTTTACCTCTCTCAACTGGAAGGAAATGCCATGGTGCTGACATTCCGTTTAGATGACCTTTAGGCTGTTAGTGTGATTTGGTCTTGTTCCATCTGTGTTAAGCTACTAAGAAGGCAGAAGAGAACAGGAGCTTTGTGGCTGAGAAAGGTGCTTGGAAGGCATGGTATCCTATGGCAAGTGCAAGGCTGAGTCACTAACATAGCCAGCATGGTGCTCATAACTGGGGATACATAGATGAGAGAGATACGGTACTTGTCCTCGCAGGACATGGGTTTTTTGTTGTTGTTGTTCAGAAAGGTAATCATGTGCCCAAACCATCCATCTATGAGGGAGATGGAGAGAGCTTTGTTGAAGAAGTAATATTGAAACTGGACTTTGAGATTTTACCAGGTACAAAAGGAGGGAAGGCGAAAGAGAGGAGCAGTTCTGGCATAAGGAACAGTACTAGCACCGGGTTCTTAAAGAGCTTGGCAGCTGGATGAGATGGTACATGCCTACAGTCCCAGCACTTGGGAAGTTAAGGCAGGAGGATTGCCATGAAATTCCAGGCTGGATAGGTCATATAACTAAATAACAGGCCAGACTTGGCTATAAAGTGAGGCCCCATTAAAAAAAATGAGAATGTAAAACAAAAAGAGAAACAAAATAATAGATAAAAAGTGTAGGCAGGGGATGCAGTTCAGTTCATAGAGGGCTTGCATAGCCTGCATAAGGGCCTCCATTGTATGCAGAGAGCATTGCATAAACTGATACTTCCGAGGTGGAGGTAGGAGGGTCAGGAATTGAAGGTCATCATCAGGCCAGCTACATAGTGAATTTGAGACAGGCCTGGGCTACAGGAGTCCCGGTGTCAACAAAAAGCCCATTCTATATATGCCTGGTAAATGTAGAGTTTTAGGTCAGCTATCAGGAATATATTCCCAGTTATACTGGAGCTGGAGTTATGGTATGCATGCGTATGTGTATTAGTACAGCTGGGATTGGAGATGAGTCTGGAGCCAAGTGAAAAAGAAAAAGACCTTGGGTGAAGAGTTAAACTTGGTCTGCTGTCAATGGCAAACCAAAGTTATTTTTTTTTCAAAAAAAATTGCCTTTAGCAAAGTATAATGTAGAAGATTTGATGGATCAATAGGTTCCAAGGAGGGTATGCAGAAATGACTAGAAAAGAAGCAAGGAGTAAACCTGTGGGAACAGCAGCATTTTAAAGGATGAAGAGATGGAAAATGCCAGTGAAGGACAGGATTATCAGGACGTTACAAGGCCAGCAGAGAGTTTAAAGAGGAGGTGGGCAGGAACTGTCAGCTTCTCTCAACACTACAGGAACCTAGGTCAGATGATGCCTGAGGAGACACTGCTTGTTCAGATTGGGCTGGAAGACATTAGTGAACTCTAATTTCACAAGAGACTAGGCTGAGTGGAGGAGATGGAGAAGCAGACGTGATAAGCATGGTCATTGTCAGCCAGGGGAATTGGACGTGATGAAAGGAAAGAAAGGCACAGAGAACAGGATCCAATTGAAGCAAGGGAGGTTTTCTTTGCAGGTAGAATTATTTTTTAAAAAGAAAGAAACACTAAGATTAGCCTGTATTCATACTGAGGGCAAGGCATCAGTCCAGGGAAAGGGATATTTAAAGTGGTAGGTGAAGGTAGAACTTGATGGTGCTCTGGTGAGGCCTGTGTGGTAAGGGTTGAGGTCAAGAACTCAGCAGAGGAGTTCCTTCCTGCTGTAATTGCTTAGCAAAATGCCAAGCAATGTTGCTTCTTGTAGCTTCAGTTGACTCATGTATAATATAAGGGCAATCACTGTGTGTATTTCATAAGACCACTTGAAGGAATTAAATGCTTAAGGTGGTTCACAGGAAGTTTTCAATGAGCATTTGTTGCTGTTGGGATTATTAATTGAGTCCCTACTGCTTATGCTGGACACTGTGCTAGGAAACACAGGACACAGGTACAATTCAGTCAAGGAGTTTGCAGTATTCCAAAGCAAGGAAAGGAAAGTGCTATATAGTTAAAGTGCAGGACACACCTGGTGGTGTGGTGGTTCACTTGCAATGGCTGACATCCCTTACAGGTAAAGGTGGGGAAGGGGGAGAACTCCAGGTGTGGATCAAAGAAGCCAAGAACCTGACTGCTGCCAAATCAGGAGGGACTTCAGACAGCTTTGTCAAGGGGTGAGTCCCTGGACCAGCATCAAACCACCAGTTATAGGACAAGCAAGTTAGCGGGGAACTCAATTGAATTTTCTTCTGTAGATCCTGCCCTTGCCCCACCACCCCAGCAGCTTTGTTTCTGAAACTAGGTAATAGTGAAACCTCCACCCCTGGAGGTTTGAGATTGGTTTGGTCTCAACTGTGGTGCTAGTTTTCAAAGAGGAGGGTGATAGACAGATAGGTTCTGACTTTCTCAGACCAGTCCTCTTCCTGAATTCTAGATGGACAGTCCATGCTCCCTGACTGTCTGGATTCAGGGTTCAAGGCTCTGTTGTCCATAATTTTTAAGCAGTATAAGCTTCGTCTATAGTGGGGATGATTTACTGACTTAAGCTCACCAAGAATTCATGGTTGACTAAGCTAACACATATTAGTAATTGTGGGAGAGAAGTGGAACCACATATTTAAACCCATCCTTGGTGGAACATAGGCCAGAGCATGACTAACATATTCATTTTCTCTCCAGGTTACAGGAAGTAGATAATCTAGTGGAAGTAGTGGGGAACCTGCATCCTCACATTCAAAGGAGGGCTTGTGTGCACTGGGACCTGGGTGTTGGCTTGCCATCCTGGGCTAGGCCTGTGGTAGGGGCAAGGGGAATTTAGACGTATTCCCAGATTAAGTAGGTGTTGATAACTCCCCACCCTCTGCCAGATACCTCCTTCCCATGAGGAACAAGGCCAGTAAGCGTAAAACTCCTGTGATGAAGAAGACCCTGAATCCCCACTACAACCATACATTTGTCTACAATGGTGTGAGGCTGGAAGATCTACAACACATGTGCCTGGAACTGACTGTATGGGACCGGGAGCCCCTGGCCAGCAATGACTTCCTGGGAGGGGTCAGGCTGGGTGTTGGCACTGGTGAGACTCTCTTCCATCCGATCATCACATGTCTCAAAGGCCTTTTGTCTATCTTACTCTTCCTACCTCTTACCTTCCATGAGATATGAAGATCTTTTCTGACAGAAATTCTCTTCCTTTATGAAAACATCCAACAAGTACTTACTGAGTACCTGCTGCCTGCTAAGCCTAAGGGAAGGCTGAACTCATATAGTATTCTATGTATAGAAAGATGACCCTGAAGGCCAGGAACATCATCATCTTCCCACAAAAGAAGATCTAAAAGCTACCTAAACCCCTGACTTGTGATTCTTATCTTCTATCTTGGTGTAGTGAGAAGGGTCCTTTGCCAGCAAATCCTTATTATCCAAGGATTCTGACTTACTCCTCGCTTCTCAGTGGTTCTTTGTTTATAGTCTATATTTCTTCTGTATGATCGATTCCATTTGATTTGGCTATAGAAGGGGAGTATACACGTGCTCTGGTGAGACCAACCTCTCTCTCTCTCTCTCTCTCTCTCTCTGTCTGTCTCTCTCTCTCTCTGTCTGTCTCTCTCTCTCTCTCTCTCCAGGGTCTCATGGAGCCCAGATTGGCTTCAAACTCCTGATACTTATTTACTTATTACCTCTATGTCTCAAGTGCTCAGATAGTACATATGCACCAACATGCTCAGGCCTAATTTTGTTAAATAAAAGGTAAATCTTCCATTGGCCACTCCCCCCAGGACTCTAAAAAGAGTTTCCTGGCCTTTCCTGCAATTCTCAGTCCATTGTGATATGGCTGCTATTCTTCTACTCTTCTGAGTCATTATTCCTGCCAAACTGAGGTTTTTGTCTCTCTCTATAATTCCCAAGAACTATTTAATAGAGCAGATTACTCCCATTATCTTAAAAGTCTTACCACTTATTGCCTTCTTGACTCCCTGTGATTCCATTACACACCATTTCTAAATTTCCTTCATGGACTCTTCATTCTGCACTTCTGTATTCAAACTTTGAATGATGCTGATCTCTGGGCTTGGGCTTAGATGCTCTTTTTCCCCCTCTTTTTATAGTATTGATCAGGCCCATCCAACCTTTTGACATTGTGATATCATGGCATTTTCAAGTACAGTATTTATACTCAGGAACTGTGCAATCCAGTTACCAAGAAGTCACAGAAAGTAAAAAGAACTTCATTGTTTTAATTAGTTATTATTTTGTGTTGGGCCACATTCATAGCTATCCTCAGCTCCATGCAGCTCTGCTTGGACATATTTGCTAGATTCATTCTTTTGGTCTCGATTAATAACTATATATGAATAACTAGCAGAAAACATCTCTAATATTTTTGCACATGTAAGCTACTTCATGTCGGCTCCCTGTGTAAAATAATTTGGTAGCTTTCACCCACCTCAGGAATTCTTATTAAGTCTGCAGACCTCACGTAATCTGGACTCTTCCTTTCTTATTCTTCCTGTATCATTTTCTCACTCACTCATTGTGTTCCAATCACCGTAATTCTTACTTTGCTCTCCAAATATGCCAGGTTACATCCTACATTGAGACTTTATGATTGTCTTTCCTATTCACATGTAAGCTGCCTAAGGGCAGGGACATTTTTTGGTGTGTTCATCACTGCTTCCACAAACTGGCATAGGGTAGGCACTCAGGAAATGTTCATTGAATGAATGAATTACTATACAAAAAAGTAAGGAGTAAGATCACATAATCCTAACTTTGGTCCCAGTATTTACAGCTATAGAAAAAAGTATTCAGAGCTTGGGCATGGTTATGCATGCCTCTGGACTCAGCACTTGGCAGGCAGAGGCAGGAAGATTGCCACAAGTTCAAGGTCAGCCAGGATTCCAGTGTGAAATCCTGTCTCTAATAACATAAAAAGAGAGAATTTGAAAAATGTTAAGGCCTTATGTGTACTCTAGTTATTAACCAGTCCATTGCCTTTTTACTGTATATGCAATAAACTATTCTCTAAAAAATTAAGTTAAATTGCTAATGACAGAAGGGTAGCAGTTCTCGCATGGGGTGTCAGACACCAGAGCTCTGAAAAAGCCACTAAAAATAAGCCCCAATTGACATTATGCCATTTCAAGTCCCATTTCATCAACCTTCAGTCTCCTGATTATCTCTGGGGCACAAGTATTTGTAGACTCAGCTTGCCAGCTTGCTGTCCACAGCATTCTGTCTTCACTGTACATTGTTGTTTCTGGGCTGACCTTCTTCACTATATAACCCATCCTCCCTGATGGGCTAGTGGTAGGACTCTGTTCAGCCTCCTCTGGTGTTTCTCCTCAGGGATCAGTAATGGCGAAGTGGTGGACTGGATGGATTCGACTGGTGAAGAAGTGAGCCTGTGGCAGAAGATGCAACAGTACCCAGGGTCTTGGGCAGAAGGAACTCTGCAGCTACGTTCTTCAATGGTCAAACAGAACCTGGGTGTATGAATCCCTATCTTTATTTGCAGGTGCAACCCTGGTCAGTCCAAGTCAAAGGAAGCTAAGCAACCACAAGGAGAGATTGCTAATTTAATGTGTGTGCATGCATTTGTATTAACATATATTTCTGCAGATCTTATTTTGCTAGCTAGTGTGACACAGATGTGTTCCTCCCTTTAAAGCAGCCCAAGAATAAGGGTCTTTTCAAATGGTTTTATTTATCTATAGTCTAGTATATTTTCAGAGTACATAGTTGCCTCTACCTTTCTGTGGTTTAATTAAGTTTAGAAACCCTTTACAGCAACTCTCTACCTTCTATCTTGCTATTATTGTTCCCACTTTCCCTGGAAGTATGGCTGATTTTGTCAGTAGTTCTAGTTTGTAGGTCTAGATCAAAGGCCAAGACTCTTGGAAGCAAGGTTTGGTTGTTAAAGACAGTCCACTATGGGAGAGGGATTTATAACCAGTCCTTCCTCTCCAGTTTGTATTTTATGTCATCATCTACTTTGATATATTTTTAGAACTTGCTTTTTAGTTTTTCTTGTTTTTAGGCAATTTCCACCTTGCGTGAGTATAGTGGTTTTCTTTGAAATGCAGTGAAAATTCCCCAGCTCCTTCCTAGACCTTTGGGGAGCCCTTATAATGGAGTCATTTTAGAAAAATCACTTCAATTAGATAATGGCCTTTTCACTGAGACATTAACATGCCCTGTGAGACCTACTAGCTGATCTCAGAAGGTCTAAGTGACTCTGAATAAAGTTTTTCTCAGTCCATGCTGAGTTCTCTCTTTTTAGCTGTTACAGCACTTGTTGAAGAGGCATTTCCTTATTTCCCTAATGGAAGATGAGACATCTTCACTCTCATGTACTATAGCTTTCTCTAAGTTTGTGTCTAGGGTGTGCTGCTACATAGAACATAGTCTTTATACTTCTGTTTCAGCCAGTCTAAACCTTACAGTGCTCCCCTGGCCTGGGGCTTAATACCACCCCGTAAAAAATGTGGATGGAATCGCCCAGCTATTCTGACTTTCGACCTAATATATTTTTCAGTTCCTGTTTTTGGTTGTTTCTGAACTTGACCTATGGGTAACAGGGGAATAATGTGTTGAGATTTAAAAGAGAGACCAAGAAAGCTTTCATTTCCTGCTAGTCACTCTTCTAGACTGGACTTTTCAGTCATAGCAGTCTGTCTATACAGAGGTGTGTGTGTGTGTGGATGGTGTCTGTGCCCGAGGAGAAATCCTGTCAATGGAGCCAGCTGCGAATTGACTTTTCCTGTAAGGTCCCTGGATTGCATGCAGCTGGGGTGGTTAAGATCATATGTGTTGATTGTATAGAATGTTTTTCAAAGATCCCTTCAGTATGGATTGGTACTGTAATGGAAGTGTAACTCAAGAGTCCTGGCTCATACTTGTTCTTTGGCATTCCACCTCAACATGCATGTGTGTTTCAATAAAGCTTTATCACTTGAGTGTTTACACTTTGAGTTCTGCATATGCTTTAGTCTTTGATGCCCTGACTTATTGTTGCCACTTTCACTCATAGCTGGAAGGTCAGAACCAGAATAATAAGTGCACCTCACTATACTGGAAGAAAATCTGCCTTTTCCCATATATGTTTGGAATCTAAAAGTAGCATTACTTTTTTCCCTCTCAGGTACCCATAGAAGATGGCCCTTGGCTTTGTAGATTGTCCTTTGCTGGAAGAAGAAGGAGAGAGATATTCACACAGGCATGAGGGAACACCTTCCAGGCTACCAGCACTTTTTTCTAGATTATTCAGTTTCTCTGAGAGGTCAGGGTTTTTTCTCATTTATTCTATTATTTGGATTCCAGAGCTAAATCAAAGATGCTATACAACTCACCTTTGAAATAAGGCTCTGATTTTCTAGCTGCAGTTCAAGTGATTCTTGGCCTCTGTGCAAAAGCATAGTTGCAAAAGTCAAATGCATCCTGTATACAAGGTTTTGCATGATATTGTCTGACTCTCTCCAACACCTTATGTAGGAGGAAACCTTCCCTTCTTGCAGATCAAACACTCAGATGAGCTCCTTATTATGTGACAGAATTGGAATTTGAATCCAGGCCTGACTCTACCATGTTGCCTTCTATGAGAGTGATATCTGTTAAGGACAAATCATCAAACAAAATTATGCTTGTCTCTCCCAAAGTACCTTAGAGAACTAGGATTAATTTGCAAAGGAGGACACTAAGAATGCTTTGGATATTACTAAGCCAGCACAGTGACAACACTGTGTGTGTGTGTGTGTGTGTGTGTGTGTGTGAGAGAGAGAGAGAGAGAGAGAGAGAGAGAGAGAGAGAGAAGAAGGAGGGGAGAAGAGTGACAAAAAGAGAAGAGAACAGGTGGAGAGGGGAAGTGGAAAGGGAACTGCATAGGAAGGAATTAAATGGCGTTTGTCATGCTAGTCCCATTCGGACTGGCTATGGCCCTGAGTCCTTCTGTGTCTTTCCCCTACTTGGATTTTTTTCTTTCTTTTTTCCCAGAGACAGGGATTCTCTGTGTAATAGTCCTGGAACTCACTCTGTACACCAAGCTGGTCTTTAACTCACTGAGATCTGCCTGCCTCTGCCTCCTGAGTGCTGGGATCAAAAGCGTGCACTACCACTGCCCAGCTCTACTTGGATTTCTTAAGTCATAAGGACTACAAAGGAGGTTGTAGTAAAACCTTACCTAAAGAAGGCAAGATTGACTTGGCTACTCCAAATGACATAAAAGAAAGCCCCTAAAGTTGTTCTAAGCCTCAGTTCGCTGGACCATTTGCATTCAAGAGTAAGGCCCAGCTGGGAACTTTATGCAGGAGGTAGCAGGGCCCTGTGTTATTTTCTAGGCTGTTGACCTGCCAGCATGTCCTGGCTTGCCACTTGGAGTGCTAGGGTAAAGACATTGAGAGCATTTATCCTTCCCAATGTGTTGTCTTTGCCTTGCTCTGACCAGAAAGTTCCTACATGAACTCATTTTATTTCACCTTCTGCCTATCTATGACTTTAGCTCACTATAGCTTCTGCCTATCTTTGACTTTAGCTTTTCAAAGCTCCAGTATTTCTCTCAAGGTAAGATGAAATGAATTACCCCTCCCACTTTGATCATTTTTTTCCATATTCCACTCCAAGTAGCTCCCTCGCTTCTTGTCTTGCCTTTTTTTTGGGGGGGGGGTGTTGAGACAGGGTTTCTCTGTGTAGCTTTGGAGGCTGTCCTGGAACTAGCTCTTGTAGACCAGGTTGGTCTCGAACTCACAGAGATCCGCCTGCCTCTGCCTCCCAAGTGCTGGGATTAAAGGCGTGCGCCAACACTGCCTGGCTTTTGTTTTACCTTTTAAAAGTGAGATTTCTACTGAAAGTCCAGTTGAATTGCTTCTGTCTGATTCACTGCTATGCCCTTATGTTGTAGGCTTATGATTTATGTCTTACCACTCTGCTTTAAAGAGGAATTTTCCTGGCCTGAGAGCCTTTTATTTTGCTCCTTCCTCCTGGGACCACTGTGAATATTGTATCCATAGAAGATGGAACCTTTCTCCTTAGAGTGTTCAATTATCTTTTAATGGGAAGTAGAGAAAAATGAACTGGAGTTCAGATGGCATAGTGGAACCTGGCTGCTGGTATCTATGCCCAACTGCCACTTAATAGCTGTGGGATCTTAACATATTGCCTAGCCTGTCTGGAATTCAATTCCTTTATCAGTAAGAGGGAGCTAATAACAACACCTGCCTCTATCGCTCTTGTGAAGACGTCTGAGTCAATCAATAGTGTGTTTATAATGGTACCTGGCACATAGTAGGTTTTTGATCATTGTTATCTCTGCCTCCACACCCAGCCTGCTTGCTGTCTCCAGTTGCCCAATGATGGTGCCCAAGAGAAAGCTGAAGGAACAGGGCATCTGAGTGTTGACTATGACTCTGCCTTCCATCACTGTAGAAGAGACAACTCTCAGAAGCAAGGGGAGAACTTTTTTCAAACACTGGTGAAACACCCCGTGTGAGACACAAGTCAGAACAGAACTCTGCAGCTGGAGATGTGTCTCTGCAGTAGTGTTTGGAATGTGGAAGATCCTAGCTTTAATGCCCAGCAAAAAGGGGCAAGGAGTGGGGCCACTAAAGATGCACAGCAAAGAAAGAAAGTCAAAAGAAAAGCAGGGACCCGTGTGTGCCTCCATTTCCCAAAAGCCCAACCTCATGTTTACTTTCGGGCCTGGTTCCCAACCTTGACTTTTGGCTCCTGTACCTTCCAGCTCTATGCTCATCTCTTAAAAGTGGGCATCTGAGGAAGTTTATGCATGAGGTTATCCCTTTTGCTTTCCTACTATGTTTGTTGTTGTTGTTGGTGTGTGTGTGTGTGTGTGTGTGTGTGTGTGTGTGTGTGTGTGTGTGTGTATGCGCACACACATGTACATATACACATATGTGCCTGGTTGTGGAGATTGTGGAGTTCAGAGGCCAGACTTGGGTTTTGTTCCTCATGCCATTCATCATGTTTCTTGAGATAGTGTTTTGTATTTGGCCTGGTACTAACCGTTAGACTAGGCTTCCTGTCCAGTGATCCCCACACATCTACTTATCTCTACCTCTCCACTGGGATTTCATGTATACACCACCATATCTAGCCATTTTGCCTGGGTCCTGGGGATCAGAATCAGCTCCAAATGCTTACATGGAAGACATTTTATCAGCTGAGCCATCTCCCCAGTTTCTAAAGTTAATCTAGTTCCCAGACAGGGGGAGCCTCTAATGAGGAGCCACCATCGGGGCACTAAAGCCCTCAGTAGGCAGAAGTTCCGGCCCACAAGCTAGTTGGAGTGTCTAGGAGGGAACATCCTGCTATGGCTGGGTATTGCTTCCCAAATTCCTGGGGGAAATGTTTTTCTAACTCTCAATGAAGCAATGGTTTGAGCAACAGTTTTTAGTCCAGTGTCCTGGAAAGGGAAGTGAATTCAGCTTCAAGAATGTTTTGTAGACCCTTGTCATCCCTCTCCTGCTCCCAGTACAATGAATGAACTCTAAGGAAAGTCTATTTATACTTCTTCAGAGTGTCCCTCTTGTCTGTTGTGATGCTGCCCTCTGCTGTCACCGTAGAGTAAAGGAACCATTTGCAACAGTAAATGAATGAATTTAGGATTTACTTATCTGAGACTTTGGAGAGCTAGGCAGAGGCTCTAGTCAGAAGACCATTTACTCCCAATCCCCTGCCCAGGGCCTGTCCTCAGTCCCTACCTACTTTCAGATGCTCTTCCAGGGTTACCTGAAGTGGGAGCCTTGCTTAGGGAAACGAATATTCTGCCCTAAAATGATGCCTGGAACTGTACTAGATTTGGCAAACCTCACCCCCACCTGAGTCCGGCTCCCAACACTGGGAAAATATTTCCTCCTCAGTTTAAGCTACCTAGGACAGTTGCACAGTTGACCTCGGCCACACCCTGAGGCAAGGTCACCCCGGCGTTGTGCCAGCTCCTGGTTGCTCAACAGGTAGTCATCGATGAATGTGAAGATTTCCTCAGGGGTGACAGGTTCCATGTAGCGTTCCCGGTCAATACCCTGCTTGTCAATTAACACCATGTTGAAGTAGGAACGAGTGAGGCGTTGGAATTGCCTAGAGAGAGCAGCCCAGAGAGGTGTGAGACCTTGGTCCAAGTTGCGAAAGACTGTGCTACCACCCTCTGCTCTTTTATAGCTCCACCCTTTCCTTTGCCCCTCCCCCACCCATCTCAGATCCTTTTTGCTTATTTTTCCGCTCAGTTCCTAGTCTTGGTACTCTTAGATATCTAGCTTTCCTTCCTGGACCTAGCCTGGTATTTCTGCACCATGTTTTCCACTTTAAGCAAGGCTATTACCTACTGCATGCAGGCCGCGTGGAGCAACCCCAGGAGGCTCATATTGCAGACACTATGACTTGTATGCACACCATACCTAGCATTCACGAGGTTGATAAGCAAATCCTGCTTAACTCTTCCACCTGTAGCTGCAAGTCTGCTGTCTCCTTCCTTAGAGTGTTTCCTAGTCTCTTTAACTGGCTGCAATTGCTCTGTCCCCAATGAAACTGAATCCTAGAGGTAGGTATTGTTTCTCAAACAGAGACCACTGATGGCTTTATTGAACCTGAGCATAATTGGGGAACTGTAAGGCTGATAATGGATAGATAATGAGAAAAGTCAACTTCTACCACCTGCTACCTCTAACCTTCTCGTTCATGAGGGACAGATAGATATGATTCAAATTTCAGTGACCAGAGATGCCTTTCTCTCCTTTGGAGACTGAAGGTAAACAGAGGAACTCATAGGCAATGATCAGAAGCTTCCTGGCGATTCACGTCTGGAGAGGAATCCTTTCTGTCTCTCTTAGTCATGGCTCTTCAAAGTCACCTGAGGTGCTTTTATGAAAGCCCAGAGATGTGGTTTGTGGGAGAGCCTGGTTATGTGTATTTTAAGCCTCCATTTAATTGTCATGTTCCAATAGAGCTGAGAGTCACTCTCCTGACTTAGTGCAGCTATAAGAGTTCAAACACAAGGAATGTCTCCAAGAGCTCCTGCTTGCTAGTGTCCTGTATCAGGTTTTTGCCCATCCCTGCCCTGCATCTTCCCATCCTTCACCTGAGCTCCTCAATGATGCTGGCTGACAGTTGTTGCTCCCGTATGCGTCCCACCTCCTGAGGTGGCTGCCCCACCAGCTCAATAATGGTCACATGCCTCAGGTCCAATCCACAGGTGGATTGCTGGGAGGGAAAGAGAACATTAAATAGAATAACCTCTTGCACTTAAATTCTTAGGCTGCTTGGCTGACTCCCTCCTGGGACCACGTAAGGCAACACAGGAAAGGAAGTGTTTCTGCAACAGTCACACAGTCTTATAATCAAGTTATCACATGCTATGGGGTCTGTGCAACCTCTTACCTGTCCTTCCTGAATTACTTGCTACACAAAAGTGTTTTTCTTTATTCTGTTTAAGTGCCTGTAACTGATTGTGCAGCATGGAGTACAAAAGAGAAAGATAATTTGTGACAGCCACCCAGTCTGATCTTTTTATCAGTCTTCTACCTACCTACCTATCTCTCCCACCCATCAGTTAAACTCACCATACAATGTCCCTGCTTTCCTTTATAATATCACGGCACTTTTGTACTGATAGTGGTTGACAGCACGGACCCAGAGCTAGATAGCTCGGGTTCAGTTCCAGCTCTACCACTTACAAGCTAGTGTTCTTGGGTGAGTGGCTGTTTTCAGTTTCTTCACCTATTCAGTGGGGCCCAGAATTGCACCTACACCGTAGGGGTTGGTGGGAGAACTGGTTGTAGATGTGTAAAAGCATGCCAGTCATTTCCTGGTACTTACAAGTGAAATTCCTTGGAAACACACATGTAGTTTATTCTTCATATTTACATTTGATCATAGCTGCTTTCCAAGCCTCTCCACATTCCTTTCCCAGCCTACACCCAGTTCCTTGCAACATACATCTTACCATTGCAGTGGACTTACGGACTTTTCCACAGAACAACACTTTTAAAAATGTGATCAATGTACCTAACCATAAACCAAATCAAATACTTCCCACGAAAGGTAAGGATGTACAGATTTTGTGCTGCACAGAGAAAACTTTCTGCTAGGCCACCCTGGGGAAGCAGGGCTCACCTGCAGCATGGATATCTGCATTTTGTAGTATCGATTGGAGGGATCAGGAGCTGAGACTATGAGGAGTCGCTGTTTCTCAAAGAACTGATCCAGGAGGCCAGCAGCTGAGTTGACATTGACATTAATCTTCATACCTAGGGCAGAAGCAGATGGTCAGTCAGAATGTGCCGCTCTTCACCCTGCAAGGCATTCCGGTCTTACATCCTTGCCCTCCCTTCCCTGTGGTGAATTCCACAAGGAAACCTGAATATTTTATACCCTTCTTCTTAAGGTATGAGTATTCTCAGGGAGAATGTTGGCCCTTAAATTATACCTATGTCAGAATCCCCATTCTCATATCACACACAGTAATATTAGGTCTCTGGACCATGGAAGAAGTGCTTTGAAAATGCCCCCGAGCCACAGGCCCGTTCACTCATTTCCTAGTTTTACTCACGAGTACAGATAGGCGGTGATCCTGACCACTGTCGACTTGACTGGCAGACTCTGGATGGGGTGCCCTCGCGTTCATAACCACCATCACAGTGGTATTCACAGGTGGCACCATAGTTGTCCCCTGCGGAGGTGCAGGTGAGGTAGCCATGCTGTGGTGGTTTCAGAATTGGACAGCGTCTCACTGCCAGGGAGAAGCTCAAGTTAGGGGTTGTGATATCTCTTATAGTCAGGAAAGGCTAAGGGGCCCACTCCGGACTTTCTAGAACAAGAGACTTGAGATTAATCAAATGAATGTTTTTTTGTGTGTGTGTTTCTAGTAGCCAGAGATGGAGGTACAGTTTCCTTCCCTAAGGAATTAAACTTGAAATACAAACATAGGTTCCTAGTCTTTAGAAACACACACAAACACAGACAGACACAGATGGACAGATAGACAGACACACGTATAGTAATGTGGTAACTGTAAATGTATAAAAGAAAATGTTGTCATCTATATTTATAGACTTCTATAGATACCCAGAGTAAAGATGACTAACTTGCAGAATGACTTTTCTTTTTCTATTGAAACCTGGTCTTACAATCAATATAGCACAGACTGTAATGGATTCTCTGTGGAGCCTAAGAGGGCCCAAACTCACTGTCTTTCTGCCCAAGCTTCCTAAGTAGTAATATTATGAGTATGTGCCACCACAATGGGTCAGACTTACTTTTAGTTGGATATATACCAGATGAGTCCGTGATGGAGAGAATGATTAAACCAATCATGGTACAGTCTTAGAGTAGAATTAATTGTGTTGTGATTGAAAATATTTATGAAAACAACTTCAAAGAATATGAGAAATTGCTTATGTTTTAATGAAAAGTGGAAAGGGTTATCTTAAATTATATATTGTAAGTATGTATAGATATAAGATTAGAGGGAAAATACTAAAATGTTATCAACAATGAGCCCTTGAAGATGGAGTAATAAATAAATCTGTTTATGTATTGCTTTAATTTTATTTTTGAGGCACCACCCTGCTAAGTAGTCCAGGCTGACTTGCTGTCTTCCTGTTTCTTCCTCATGTGCTGGGATTGCAGGCATGTGCTACTATACCTGGCTATTTCTTTATTTTAAAATGTCTAACTATGATCATGAATTATTATTATTATTATTATTATTATTATTATTATTATTATTTTGGTTTTTCGAGACAGGGTTTCTCTTTGTAGCTTTGGAGCCTATCCTGGCACTTGCTCTGGAGACCAGGCTGGCTTTGAACTCACAGAGATCCACCTGCCTCTGCCTCCCGAGTGCTGGGATTAAAGGCGTGCACCACCAAGGCCCAGCTGATCATGAATTATTTTAATGATGAGAAAGGCAAAGTTAAGCAATATCACAGGAAGCAAAGAGGAAAATACCAGGCAACCAACATTATCATTTCAGCAAATGTGAGTGGGTGTAAAGACGGATTAGATTTGATCATTTTTAAGGCCAAGAAAAGAAAGGGATATAGACTATCTGTGAATTTTATCTAGATTTAGAAGAATGATAAGAATCTTATTGGAGAGTTAAGGTTTCTGTAACAATTTTATGGCCATGTAGTATGTATTTTCTTAATAAGTCTATTTGATGAAGTTGGCCTTTCCCCTCCCAATATAGACAAGAGGAGGGGGTTGTTGAGGGTTTCTGAAGGTCAGGGCAGAGCAGGAATGTTGAACAGTATGTCTGATGAAGAGCTTTGTCTGACCTTGTACTTTTACAATGAACTTGCAGCTGGCCCGGTTGTAGGCACGGTCATAGGCAGTGTAACGAATCACATGCTCTCCTTCAGGGAAGTGAGAACCAGGCTCTGGGCCCCGAAGTGTCACCCTGCATGAGACAGGATAAAGGAGTCACTGAGCTTCTGAGGGAAAGATGGCTAGAATGGATATCTGAGGCACATAATCACATCAGGCACAGCCTGTATTTTCTGAGTGTGAGTATTCCGGGGGAATGGAGAAAGTGCTTGGGACACAAGAGGCACGCATGACACAAGCTCACCTGGTGATGGTACCATCAGCAGAATCTTTTACCACGGGAGGGTCCCAGTATACTCGAGCAGTTAGTTTCTCTGGCTCTGCCATCTTCTCACGTGAGTGAGGACAACGGATCTTGGGTGGATCTATGTCTGCCAAGGTCAAAGATCAAATGTGGATTTATATATCCCCTGCTTTCCCTGGTGGAAGCAATATTACACCACTGGTAGGCAAAAGAACAAAAGTTAACCTTTATCTGGGAAAAAGGTGAAAAGGGGCTGACTCTGTAGGCAATAATGCTATGCCTATTGTGTATTCTCATACACAATGTATATGAATTCTATGATCAGAATTCCACATCTGTGAGCATAATGTCAGGCCCCTTTTTGCAGCAGAGTAACTGGAGCTACCAGCATTTACCTACACATACAGGCTCGCCTCCACTCCAT